AAAAAAAGAGAGAGAGAGAAAGAAAATTAATGGCTGGTATGTGTACATTCTCCAAACTCCTGAGAGGAGAATGAATGAGAAGGGATTGTGGTGTGGCCATTCCTCTGGGGGGTGCTTTCTCACTTTCTGTCTCTCCAGTAAGTGCTCATGCCTTATAGCAAAAATTTTTCTAAAAAAATAAATGGAAGAAGAAAGGCGATCATGCTGATCGTGTGTGTGTGTGCAAACCCAAAATCTTAAGAGGAAAATGGAGAAGGGACTGTGGTATGTCTATGCCATGTTGGGGGAAGGTTGCTGCCTCGGTTTCCTTCTCTCTCTGTCTCTCTCTGGCAAGTGTATGTGCCGGCTAGCAAATTAAAAAGAGAAAAAAGAAAGAGAGATGATAAATCTCACTACGGTTGCTGAAGTCAACTAAAATGTGTGCAGACCACGCCCTTTTACAGCAGGGAAATGTCTAGAATATTTGGATTTCTAAAATTTTTTTTTTTTTTTTTTTGAGAGATTTTCACTGTAGGGCGCGTGCGCTCGCCAGACAGACAGAGAGAGACATAGAGACAGAAAGCAAGAAATCACCCCCCAGGGGGGATGGTCACGCCGCAATCCCTTCTCCTCCATTCTCCTCTCGGGATCTTGGGCACGCACGCACACGCGCCCGGCGTGAGTTTTAAGCCACCGGGTCCGGGACACGAACCGCGGTCGACTACGTGGGAGTCCAGCGACATAGCCATTACGCTATCTGCTGGTTCCCTGGATTTCTAAAATATTTTGACATAAAACCAATACTTTTTCGAGATCAGCAGATGGCATAATGGTTACGTCGCTGGACTCCCATGTAGTTGACTGTGGTTCGAGTCCTGGACCCAGAGGCCTAAAATTCATGCCAGGCACATGTATGTGCGTGCCCAAAATCCCTAAAGGAAAATGGAGGAGAAGGGATTGCAGTATGGCCATCCCCCCGGAGGGGTGATTTCTCACTCTCTGTCTCTTTGTCTCTTGGGAGTGCAAGCACCCTATAGCAAAAATCTCTCCAAAAAAGAGAAAAACTAAAATAAAAAAAACACAATACTTTTTCTTGCTATATTTTATACGTTGGAACCAGACCAGGCAAGAGAATTCCAAGTGATGTGACCACAGCATTTTAGAGAGCTGGAAGGAGACACAATGAGAACAAACCCCTTCTTAAATGTTATTTTTAGATCTCTAAAACCAGAGAGGGTTTTAATTGGTATTTCTGTGCAAAGATTCAAAATGCAGCATTCAAGGAAGGCTGCCAAGGAATGGAGGGTTATTTCGAGTTTCCAGTATGTCACTGATGGGTGGGCAAGGCCAGGACCCAGGCCTCGACCTAATTCATCTAATAGGTCATTGGAAAAGTCATGATGGTGACCAGCAGATGGTGTAATGGCTATGCCACTGGACTCCCATGTGGTCAACTGTGGTTCAAGTCCCGAACCCGGTGGCTTAAAACTCACACCGGGAGCATGTGCGTGCGTGCCCAAGATCCCGAGAGGAGAATGGAGGAGAAGGGATTGCGGCATGGCCATCCCCCCTGGGGGTGATTTCTCGCTTTCTGTCTCTCAGTCTCTCTAGCAAGTGCATGCGCCCTATAGCAAAAACCTCTCTTTAAAAAACAACAGAAAGATCATGATGTATTTTTCCTTTTTTTTTTTTTCTGCTATAGGGCGCGTGTGCTCACCAGACAGACAGAGAGAGGCAGAGAGACAGAAA